ACAACGCGACGTTGTGCCCTGATCACAATAATATGCAACCATTTCAAAGAAAAGAAGGAGTGGTAACGCTGAAATAGGGAGAGGGGGCATCGGACTGACTGGGGTCATGAGAGCTCGTCCTCTCACCGAGGTAACATCCCTTCCTTTTCTCAGGATCTGCTTTGGAAGAACGCGCGCAATTAGGCTCGGTGGGGCCGAATGGGGACAAGAGAAGAGAAAAAAAGAAGAAAAAAAAGAGAGAATTTGCCGCGCCATTGCGCGCGTTGCACCTTCTGACGATGTTCGCGGGAAATTTTCAGTGTGAGGGTCCGTGGATGGGCGCAGGAAATTCGAGCTGTGCCTTAATTTCTCGATTGGAGCAGCGAAACTCGCATTTTTTTTTGCTATTTCTATTTCAGTGTTTTTGGGCATTCCCTCCCCGTCTGTTGCTGTCATGGCTGACGATAAACCCCTGGAACCTGAAAACCTCCCGACATCCTTGGCAGACGCATTTTCCGGCCCCTTTAATATTCAAATTCGAATGGCTAGACAGTAGAACTTGTCTCTTGCCGCGCGGCGTCGCTCGACACGCGTGCCAACGCGGCAAATTATGGTTATCTTGTCATTATCCCGGTTACCAAATGGTGCCTATAGAGATGCTCATACACATGTGAAGACCTGTAAACTCCTATAACTGAAGTAGCTCACATGTAACGCTTCACAAGAATTTACAAGAGTTCACATCGAAATGCTACTTGTTAGATGACATGAACTAGCCAAAGGAACTAGTGAATGTGCAAAATGCCCCCTCGCTTAGGTCGCACAGTGCCGGAGAGCGTGGATGACCAGAGTCGCAGCGGGCTAGTGTTCCCGTTTGGCACCACGCTCCAACTACGTTCACAGTCCGCTGTGATTTTAGCGATTCAAGAAAGTGGAGACGGCAAGAGAATCGTAAATTGCCGCTTCGTCGCGCGCGGCAATGGGCGCGACGTTTCCTTAATTTGCACTACCTTTCGATTGGAGCATCGGATTTCACGTAGACAAGGACATGGTACAGTTATGTCTATTTTTGGTCATACATTGTCTATTCTAGACTAATACCACCTAAAATCGTCGTCATTAGCGGGCGCGACGTCGCATGCGACGCCCACTGGCGCAGCGATTACGATTCTCTTGCCACATACCCGAAAATTGGATGGAAGCAGACGAAGTGTCTGGGTGACTGCCGTTTCTGCTCGTCGATAGCCATCTAACCCTTTTCGCAGTGGCCCCGCCCTTATCAAAGCCACACACGGTACCTTGTGCCCAAGCGTCGAGCGCCATAGAAAGTTCGTATGTTTGGAGTCGCTAATCGTCCTTAACGTGTGGTGGCACGTCCACATCACGTTTTAACACGATGCGATGACGTGTCAGTGCGATGCGTTGTCATACGGCATGTCCTAACTCGTAACGGGTTGTTATTGTCCAGCGGTAACGTTTGTATAGACGCTTGCTACCCCTGAAAGCCTTGAGGTTTGGGTCTCCAGGTGAAATAAACCAATACCAAGTTCACCGCCTCAGGAATATAGTGTCAAAGGTATGCTTTCCTTATAGTCTTGAGAAATGTATTGTCCTCGGAGATGTAGTTCATTCGAGAGCTGCATTGGTTCGCCCTTTTATCACTGGAATAAGGGCCTTTCAGAATGCTTCGGATAGGGCTGGTGCTGAAGTGCTGGCCTTCTCCTTGCATTCTCACCCGGTTCCTCTTTTTTCCCCTCTGAAAATTAACCACACTTTCTTTCTTGAACTCTGGGTTGCTAATTGAAATTTATCGGCTCCCTATTCTGAGAACGCGTTCTTCAAGTAATACTAAAGGCTTCAACATTTCGTTGATAAAGTGTCTTGGAATAAAGATAGTATAGTACTAGATGAACCTAAAGACGCAGTGTGCGATCACCTGAGATGAGAATCCTTTTTCTGCGTTTTCTCCACTTGAAGTGCGCCGTGATAAAGCTAAAGCTGTGAAAGCTCGATGTCCCTTATGTTTCCTCTCGCGGTCTCCGGCTGCAAGTTATGCTAGCTGCTGACTGCGTCCTCTCACCGAGACAATGTCCGGAAGTTTTGATTTCGGCAGGTGAGAGTTTTCTCGAGATGACTTTTGATGTGGAATGTGCAATCACCTTGAAGGAAGTACTGCCAGCACGTCAAACGTATCGAGTAGTGTCTCGGTGAGAGAGCGCAGCCAAGCAGCCGGCATAACCCACGACCGGAGACTGACCAGGAAAGGTTCGCCAACTTACCATGGAACTTTGAATGGAGACCTGGGTAGATCGATAGAGTCTATAAGGTTATTTACAAATATAGATAGCAAAACTGCAACCTGCATTTCACAAGCAACTTATGAGCAGGTAAAGTTTGTAATGGTGCAGTAGGGTGGAGGCTTGGTGGTGAGCTGTGAAGCATAAGCGAGGAATCGCATACGTCGAATCGAGTCGTCGAACGTCGAACCTTACCACTGAACCACCACGACTCGATTCGACGTATGCGATTCCTCGCTTCACAGCTCACCACCAAGCCTCCACCCTACTGCACCATTACAAACTTTACCTGCTCATAAGTTGCTTGTGAAATGCAGGTTGCAGTTTTGCTATCTATATTTGTAAATAACCTTATAGACTCTATCGATCTACCCAGGTCTCCATTCAAAGTTCCATGGTAAGTTGGCGGACTTCCCTGGTGAGAGCAGAGACATAACGAACATCGAGCTATCAGAAAACTTTAGCTTCAACAGCAACACTCGAGTGGCGTAAACGCGAAAAGGATCCACCTCTCAGGTGATTGCACACTGCGTCTTTGGGTTCGTCGAGTTCTGTGCTGTCTGAATTCCAAGGCACTTTATCGACGAACTGTTCAAGCCGTCGATCCACAACCAGGCTTTGGTTGAAAAGATATTTTACAAACTAGCAGATGGATACAAATAAAAACATCTGTGACGATACGTAATTAACGTGTTAGTAATTTACACTTAGTAATTTATACGAACCTTTTTTTGCAGGACTGGCAAAGGAAAAGCCAGTTCATCAGAAAGCTTGGGGATGCCAGTGAAAACACCTTTGAAGAGGGAACGTAGTCAACCATGCCCCTTCTGCAAGCAATTCATGGATTACAAAGTTTTAATCGACCACATGCACAAGTGCTGCCTTACAGAGGTGAGTTGTTGAGCACGGATTCACATAAAAACTCAATATACTTTTGTACAAAGCCCATCTGTTCTGCCTTTATCCAAGGCTATTTTGCAGCCCACATTGGCTCTGAGGTATCCTTGTATGAGATCAGTGTAAATGGTCACCAGCGTGCTAAGCTTTCTAGCGTACGCCAGCAAAAAAAAGTATGGGCTCAAAAGCTCAGAACGCTAGAGCGATATTTATACTACGCAAGTATGAACGCAGCCCAAGTATTTTCATTTTGGACTAATATTATCATTATTGTATATTCTTATCAATGTGGTACTAGTATTTAGCAGTATTTTCATACTAAAGATGCGTTCATAATCGACGGTTTTATGCATTATTTTCAGGTTGGTCAGGAGAGTACAAGTTCAGTGATTAGCTTAGATATGCCAGTGAGAAATTATCTGAAAAGGGAGCGCAATCAAACATGTCCCTTTTGCAAACGTTTCATGGATGAAAAAGTTCTAATCGACCACATGCATTATTGCTGTCTCAGAGAGGTGAGCTACGGAATAATTTGCAAATTCAATATACTTGCGATTTGAAACTCTAGAAAGATACATCCATATCAGGCTGATTTGCAGCGAACGCTTGTTGCAATATATCCTTCAAGGGTACGTTTAGACTTTGCGTCAGCGTTTATCAGCGACAACCTGTCTTTCAAGCTACGCTAGCGTCAGCGACTGCGAAAGTGTAGATATCGATCTAGCGAATGCCAGCATCCACCAGCATACAGCGGCGTTCTCGCGGGCACTTTTCCTCAAGTTCAAAAATGCCTGCGAAAACGCTGCTGTACGCTGTGGACGCTGGTGGTCGTTGGTGGACGCTGACGCAAAGTGTGAACGCAGCTTAACGGGTGTAGCAGAAACAATTACGATAAATCTCCTACAGTGAACAGATGCCAAAGAAACAGTATTAGGATGAAGATTTTCTTATATACGTAGGTTAGTGCGCTTTTTGAGATTTTATTTATAGGTTGGTGAGGAAAGTAGCAATTCGTCGAACAAGGATCTTCAAAGTTTGGAGGGTCGGCCGAAATATTCCCCGCAAAGGGAACGCATTCGAAAATGTATCCTCTGCAATCGTTGGATGGATTACAAGCATTTGGTCGATCATATGCGGAACTTTCACCCTGCGGAAGTCAAAGAGGCTCTTGGAAAGGCAAACCTCGTCAACGATACGACAAGTGCATCAGAAAAGAAGCCCGATCACACCTCCGAGCCCAACTTTGGCGATTCACCAATTTCTGCCGCATCTTTGCTAGGAGAGTCATCAATGTCTGTTGACTGTGATGATGAAGATGATGATGGGGGTGCTACTGTTAGTGAAGACCAGTCCAAAATCTCATCAGTGGAAACTCCGAACCACGCCAATACAGAGCTAGGCTGTTCATCTTGTGCGAAAGTGAATGAGAGAGTGAGTCTGCAATTGAGAACTTCATTTTTATACCTCCTTTTACTGTTGTTGTGTTAAATCGTCTGCATTCAGATGACTCAACTCGAATCTACTGTGGAAAGGTTGACCGAAAGGTTGATAGAATTGGAAGAATTGTTGCTGTTCAAGAAATCCATCAAGGAAGAAAGAGAATAGTTGGTTGGGCGCTCGCGAAGGTTATCGTTTTCTCGAGATCCAGGCTTCACTTTCAAAAGAGGGTCTTATGGGTCATAGAATGCTTTTTTGAATCTGTTTGTTTTATGTTATGAGGACACATACATGAGTCAGTCCCATTCGTTCTACCCGCGCGCTCCTGGGGACGTCTAAGAGTTGTGGTTCCACGGCTTCACCACGAACTCGGTTACAGGGAACGTCCTTATGTTTGGATGAAAATTGTGTTTGTGAACACGTGTTGACTCAAAGAAAGGGCCAGACGTACTCGCCATATCCCGGGGCTCGGCAGGGCGTGGCCAAGCATTTCGTTCAAAGATGGCGTAGGATGCGTTTTTCTTGGAGCATTTCTACCAGAAAAAATTTATTATACTGCCTTGTGCTGGACAAAGACGGCTCAAATGCCTCAAAACAGCAAAAAAGCCCCAAAAGCACAGCGCATTGCCACTTTTTTAATGAAGTAGGTAGCCAAGCCCTCCGCACCGAATCGCAAGAAAAAAAATAAAAATTACAGGGTTGCGAAATTTTGTAACCACGCGGACGAGTCAACTAACTATTGCACACCCTTTTCTGGCCTCCCCAGAAGCCCGCATTGTGAAAAAGAACTCCACTTTCAGTCACGATTCCCTACAGCGTGCTCAAAAACTTTGAAAAGGCGCTCATTACCTGAAAGAACTCCTCTTACCGGTTTCGTTGAATGCTATGTAGATTTGTAAGCATAATTGTTCAAAAATATTTTTATAACCGCAACTGTCTACACTGCCAACTTTTGCGGTTATTGAAGGAATCCATGCTTTGATACTGTGTGTCCTTTCCAGTGCTTGCTGAGATGTTCATGCATTTGCGTTCACTTAAATTTTTTTATAGTTCTCTTATGTTACGTTTTTGAACGGGTGCTCAACACGTGTGTTTACTATTTGTATTGCAATCTCTCTTTTTTCTTTTTCGTCCGATCGTGGAGCGTTACTTCCGACGCGCGGCAAGTGCAGCGAAATAGACGTCTCGCGGGGTGATACGCGGCATTCGCACCAGGGCCCAATCCACTCAACGAGGCAGTGCTGTGGCGCGCCGACTCTCCTGACGCTCTGCATCTCTCAAGTCGACCAGCTCTCTCTGTGTCTATGTCTGGCTGGTCAACTAACTAGGAAATAGTGGTGTGTGCGCGCAATGCTGCTACAAGTAAGTAATGCTCCACACCCCGTTTATTCATTACGCTGTAGAGGACAATCTGCAGCACAATCAGAGCACCGGAAAATCTGCGAAAAGAGCCAGGTACGCAAAATTTTCCGTTTTAATGCCGCTTCATTGATTTTACGGCTCTTCCAACTATGGGATCGATCCGTATCTGGTCTGTTTCGCGGATTCTTTTGTCCTGAGTGGTGCAACTCGTAAGCGCGGCCTCATGTCTCGCAAATTCTATGCCTTTGGAATAGAGCTGAAATGCTTTCTTTTCGTGATTGTTTTTATAAATGTGTACGATTATGCAATCACAAAATGTGTTGTACCTTTTTTATAATAAATATGAAATCGAGTTGTTCGAAAATGTTGGTCAAAGCAGGTTATATCCAGTTGATTTGTACCTCCCCTGCTTTATATGTTGGCTGTATTACTTGACCGAAGCGGAAGTGGTGACGCTTACCACGCGCGCGGCCCAAATTTCAAATCCCAAATTGGCTCCTGTCCAAGCCAGTCTCCCTCTCTAGGACGCTGTTTCAGGGAGGTGTTTCAGGTCATGGCGCGCTTTTTGGAAATGGTTTGTTGCTTGTTGTAGGGGTCCATACAAGGGTCACAAAAATGGGTTTCATTTTTGCTATGCGTTTCTGGGTAGGTCAAAAACGGAGTGAAGAATTTGACAAGAATGGGCGGTTTTACGCCGGCCCTCCGCCAGAAACGTGAAGGAAAAACCTCTATAACTCCGCTCAGAGAATCGTTCCGCAAATTTTGAAGGCAGTTTCGAGTTCATTGTGTTAAGACGAGTACAATGATGTGCACTGACTGCAAATGGCCAGGTTGTCCTGTTGGCCTTTCCTGGATGACACCTTATAAACCAGCACAGTTGTGGAGAACCTTGTTTCCGGAAATGTTCACGTCTCGTTGCGTTGATACAGATGTAAAACTGTTGCCGCATTGAGGATCCGAACCGAGTCCCGCATTATCGTGCTATCCCGCCAGCAATGGTCGTGAAGGGAGCGCTGACAAAAACATCACTCTTGCGTCGGTGCATGCCAAGTGTGTTACCACATGATACTTACATTTTGACTTTAATCGAATCTATTTTGAGGCCTAATTAGTGACCACCTCATAAACTATGCATGCTCGAAGTTACAAGCAGAACGGAGCCCATTAACATTGTTAAAACCGCCCATTCCTGTCAAATTCTTTTCACTCAGTTTTTGACCTACCCAGAACGCATAGCAAAAATGAAACCCATTTTTGTGATCCTTGTATGGACCCCTACAACAAGCAACAAACCATTTCCAAAAAGCGCGCCACGACCTGAAAGACCTCCCTTGTTAGTGATACTGGATCGTCTGCGTAGACAAAAACGTGAGTTGTACACTCGGCGTGGGCATTGTTGGCCAGCAGTCAATAAGTTCTAGGATTCGAATCGGAAGTAGAATGCGTTACCGCGCTCTAAAATCAGGGTTCGACGCCGTCAAGAGCTGTCTATCATCCTTGATGCGCCTTGAGGCCGCAGTAGCTCAGCTCTTATAGTTTGCTGTTAATGAGCCTTCTGGTCAGGATATCGTGCGCGGGGAAAGGGTCTGTGTGAGGGAAGGGGAGAGAAGGCTAGTCGGCCTTGCGGATTTTTTCCGGACTGTAGTGATTCAGCTGCGACATACCTTAGACGCATTCAGACTTCGCGATCGGATCGCTTGAGCGGTACGATCGTGCGACTACGGGGCAGTAGGACCACAACCAGCTTCGTTTTATCGGTTTTTCCACTGTTGGGAAAAGTCTGCGATTTCATTCATAAGTGACATTTCGCCTTCCCCTTTTTAGGGCCACTGTGCCTGACCGCGGCTTGCTGACGTTCTCGGAAAAAGGTTTGCAAGAGAACGGGTTAAGAACTACCTATGCTGCAGTCATAAGCGCGTACTACATGATCTCCTTTATGGTTGCCTTTTTACCTATACATCCAACCGCACTGCCACCATTGTTGCACATTCAGTGCTTCCCAGCGATGCACCGGTGTTGTGTCAGGCCTGGGTTTTGTGCGCTAAATTGTGAGGCAGAGTGCGCACCGCATATAAACCAGAGGAATGATAACGGCCAATAGGCAAGATTTATAGTGTGGTTCTCTGCGGACGGTTGGGCGTGTCAGTGCGGCTGCGTTTGGCGCGGTGCCAAACTCGTTCTCCACCAGTTGTTGAAGCGGAGCAAGTGACAATATCATATCCTTCGTATTACTCGTTTTCTACCACTTTTTGTCGCATGCGCGCTTCAACAAGAAGGCAGAGAACGGCCTCAACTGGGTGACACACTCATACTGGCTAAGAGCGCGATCGCGAAGTCTGAACGCGCTCTAACACGCCCAACCGTCCGCAGCGAACTAGAGTGTATTTCAATTTCAAACGTATATGAAGATGAAAGTGCCTCAGTGTGCTGTTTAGTGTGCTCATTGTTCATAACATCGCCTTTGCAACGTGATTGTGTGCTTCCTTCATTGTTGCTTTGTGACCTCTGATAGTGTTATTATTTCAGGCTTCTAGAGCCCTAGCAACGTAAAAAATGATCGCCATTTTCATGTAACTAGTAGAGGTGGGTTTCATTATTTTTTTCCTGCTTTAGATTTCTTTGCAGCAGAGGCTCATAATAGAGGCTCGCCCTAACGCTGACCAGAAATAGGAGACCAGAAGGCCAATTCCCTAAGTTTTTCGCATCTACCCGAATGAGTTCATAGAAGCGCACAGTAAAAGAACAGTTGTAGACGTGGGGAGGCTGCAAATCGGAGAATATGCTGATGGGTCTGGTCTCCCAGCCTTGATCCTCAATTATTTGGTAGTCTCCATGGCAGTAAGGGGTCTCACGTCCTCGCGAATGAAGTGCCCCAAAGTTGTCTCGGTTATTTTTCTCCAACAGTTTCCACGTGCTTCTGGGGCTAGCGGGACCAATGGTAGCGATAACCGCGTGTTGTTACAGCCATTGTGTAGCATCTCTTCGCGCCCGAGGCAGCACAGGAGAACCTTCTCGGACTGCGGATTGCTGGGATGGGTCTTCTCTTTGTAGAGGCACACGATACGTGTGGTTTGAAGTAACAGAGGACCCGTCACTCATCTCCACTAAACAGTCTTACAGGCGGTGGACGGTACACTTGTTACAAGACTGCAGAGATTGCCTCCGTATCCCCCTTGACAGCTTCGAAAATGGTGGAGTCTTTTACTTCGTAAGACCTCTCGA